TATTTAGCAATTTTTTTATACTATATCAGTCTTAAATATGTAGTAACAATACAAATTTAAAATACTACTCAATAATTAAATTATTTAACACTTGATAATTTATTAAATTAGCGAATATTCGTATAGTTTGAGCGATCAATAGTCACCTATCAATTAATTAAAGTTAAAATTGCTGAATAAGAAATTATAAATACCAAAATTAAAGTTTATTGGTATCTAATAGGGATAGGCATAAACACCGGAAAACCAAAACATTGAATCGAATTTTTTTAGAATTTCGGTTTTGATATTTCGGTATTCGATTCGATATACTTTTTTTATATTTTTCGATATTTCGGTTCGATTTTTGATATTTTGATTTAAAACAAAATATTATACTATAATTTATATTATATTTATATTGTATTAATTAATAATTATTAATGTTAAATAATTTTTTTTTTAAAAAAGAATTTGAAACCCTATGTAATGTTCCTGTTCCTAATTTAATTTTTAATATTCATCTTGCAGCCTCCTCTTCCTTTTGCAGGCAGCAGCTCTTCCTCTTCTTTCTCTTCCTCTTTCAGGCAGCAGTAGCCGTCGCCTGCCAGCAGCAGCAACCGCCGCCAGACACCAGCAGCAGCAGCCTCCGCATGCAGCGACTTCAAGTCTTCAACCGACGATCCAGCCCAGTCAGATATTCGATACACAATTAATAAAAATCAAAATTAAAAAATTAAACCGAATTAATAAAAATCGAATCGAAATATTTTAGTTCGGTATTCGGTACATAATTTACAAGAACCAAAAACTGAAAAAAAAAATCGAACCGAAATATCGAATGTCCATCCTTAATAACTAAGAAGCTAAAAGTACTAATATCGCTTTATTCTTATATAATTTAATGAGACGATTTTGATCCTCGTAATTTTAGTTTAAAGATGTTACACCTTCATTATGCATTCTAAATTCTTCTATGTATGAATTTTCACTAAGTTAATGAATTCTTAAGCGTTAATCATTCAATTATCAATATAATTACCTTTAAAAATTACTTTGTATTATTACATATTTGAGGATAATATAATTCTAAAAATAATTTAAATATCGTATACTTCTTACCTATAGCCAGGGGAGCCAAAAATCATACATTTTAGTAAATTAAAGGTTAAATATGCTTAATAATATATCATGAAGATCAAATTAGAATTTATCCATAATTGAGGGACTAGAAGTGTAATTATCCCTTCCATTAATATGTGAAGTGACAAAGGACCCGTTTGGATGGGCTTAATAAAAACAGCTTTAAAAAAACATTTTTGAAAGTGCTGAAACTTATTTTTAAAATAAGCTATTATGCGTTTGGATAAAAGTGCTGAAGTTAAAAAAAGTTGTTGATGTGTTTGGCAAATAAGTGCTGATAAACAGCTTTTTAAATCAATATGTCTGAAATACCCAGTTGTTAACATAATAATAGTTAATTAATTTATATTTTACAACCAATAAATAATTATATTTTGCTATCATTCACATATTTCTTTCTCATCACAAATTATTTATAAGAGGAATATAAACTTATTATAGCTTTTAAAGATATATAATTTGAATAGATTAAAGAACGATTTAAGATTTTATTTTAGTTTCATCTATAGGTAATAATAATTGTCTATCATTCACATATTTCTTTATTATCACAAATTATTTATAAGAGGAATATAAATTTTATTTAAGTTATATGTGCAACTTATTTTACATTTTAATAATATATAATTTGAATAGATCACTTGAAAGATTTAAGATTTATTTTATTTTCATTCATTAATAATAGTAATTGTCTATCATCCACACGTGAAAAGGGAAAAATAGAAAAAAGGAGATGTTAGGGTTATGTGGGTAATTTGGAGATTATATAAAAATATTAAGGGCAAAAAGGTAAAAATGTGGTTAACTTAAAACAACTTATAAGCTGGGAAAAAAAAAGCACCCTACCCCAACTTTTAATTTTTGGCTTAAAATAAGTTTTTTTAACTTAAAATAAGTTGTTTTGAGTATTGCCAAACAGCTAAATAAGTCAAAAACCAGCTTTTAAGTTAGTTTGACCAGCTTTTAAGTTGAGCCAAACAGGCTCAAAGCCTAATGAATTTTTCTAAAGATGCATTTTAACTTGATTGAAATGTTTCAACTAATTTACTACCTAAAACAAAAAAACTTGCTATTATATATAGAGAGAGAGTTAGACTTTGTATATTACCAAATTTCATTGCACTATAAGACTTACTGAAATGTATATATATTTTGAGGTTCGATAATTTTAAAATAACATTGAAAAGTTTTATTTTGAAATAAAATAATTTCTACTAAAAACAATATTATACTTTAAATTTGAATTTAAAATATTATATATTTGAGCTCAAGATATAATATCGTTACTTTCCGTTTAAAAATGATATTACTTACTGTTCTATCACAACTTGTAATATTTAATTAATGTAATATCACTTTTTTTTTTATTTATCACATGAATGTACTCCTCTAAATGAAGTTAAAAATATAGTCTATGTTATGAGTACGAAGCTTTATAGTTGATAATAAATGTTGTACCAAAAGTCTTAAATTTTTGATAAATCAATATTGTCTTTTTCTTTTGGTACAAATTCTAAGATTATTAATTATTATCTGAACTATTATACTCATTTTATTTACCTTTTTATAGATAGTTAATAATATTCAAATGTACTTATTTCCAAATCAACTTTTTTTATTTTTTGTACTTTTTATTTTCTTTTTTATCGATTGTGCTTTATTTTATGTGATATATTTTCTCTTTTTTAATTTGTTGCAAAAAGACAGAAACGTTTTATATTTATAAATAATTTAATTTTAATTTTTCGCTTTGATTCTATACATTCATAAAGTCTTGGTCATATAGATTGCATCATATATTTAAAATTTTATGTTAACAAAAGTTTTTTTTAATGTGTGACTTATTAAAAAGATTCACGTATTACTGAAACGAATCGAGTACTCTTCCCGTCCCAAAATAAATATACTTTTTTTCTTTTTAAGAGTTAATTTTGATCAATAATCAAAGCTTAAAATTAATAGGTTTAAAAATCAAAATTTAGTCATTCAAAAATTATATGAGATATATTATATAAGTTGTAATTCTACTCACGATCGACAATATAATTTAACAAGTACATTTAAAACTATCGATAATCGATAATCTTTCATATAATTTAAATTTCATCAAAATAAAGACGATAGATAATTTGAAACAAAAGAATCTAATTATAAAGCATAAATTATTAATAAACAAACGCATAAAAGTCATGGGTAGTTGGATTATTTGTTATCTTGAGCCTCATTTTCTAACCATTAATTGCTAGTCAAAAAGCAAAAGCTATTAAACTAGAAATATTGTAATTATTTTGAGAGTATGTCAAAACCTAGTCAAAAGGCTATTACCAAGAGAGTGTTATCTTTTGTTACTTTTATTATTGTAAATCATAAAAAATAATTACTTTAATTAAGTGATTATCCATCATTGTTAGCATTTATTTTCATAGTCACCAAATTTTCAAAATTGAACTGTATTTTTGAACTAATATATAAGTACATTTACTTTTACTAAAAAAAGAAAATAAAGACTTGTTTGTTCTTGGCTAAAAGTATGAAACTTATTTGCCTTTCGAAGTTAAGAAGTCATTTTCGATAGAAAATATCGTTATGAAATCGAAGAGAGAATAAATAATAACGTACTCACCGCTATAAACAGGAATTGATGATGCATAAATTATGTAACTAAATAAAAATATTCGTTGTTAATTTTATTTAGTAATGAATTATCATGACATTTTGCAAGTATCAATAGATTTTGTCAAAATTTTATATATTCATAAAATATCTGTATACGAATTTTTTGATAATAAACTCAATCAGTATTGTATTCCGTTTGATTTAAATTTATTATAAGAATTCATAAACTTCAAAATGTTAAGTTAAATTGTCTCTTATTATACATCAATAGTTTTTGAAACTAGTAATTGCTAGTCAAAGAAAAAAAATAACTTTTAGCGCTATTAAATATTGATATTAATATAGAGTAATAAAGTCTTTATCGGTATTAGTTAAGTGCCATCAAAACCAATATCGCTAAAGACTTTAGAAACATACAAAGAGTGACAATTGCCGCTAAAAATACATTTTTGATGTAGTGTAGTCAAAGAACAAAACATTGTACTAGAAGTATATGCAACTTAACCCTAAAAATATGTGTTTTTGGTTACTTTTAATTTGTAAAAATTAACTATATAATTGATGATGATCATATTATTACTTACTAAAAGTATATGCAATTTAATTCCCTAAAAATATTTGTTCTTTATACAAATTTTTATTGTTACTTCATGTTTGACGATAGTTATATGACTCTAAAACAATGCAAAGCTAGTATACATGGGCGGATCTACCTAGCTTTCGATCGACCCTACGTTACGTAAATTTAACAGCTTTTATTAAAATTCTATATTTTATTATTAAAAATAGACTAACATTTTTAAAAATTTCTTTGTTATTAATCTATCGCTAAATCTACTCATATTCAGCATAACCTTTTGATCAATCATAAAAGAATTAAAATTTTCAAAAGTTTTGTTATTATTTATCAGTCGCTAAATTATTCGTATTCAGCATAACCTTTTGATCAATCCTAAAAAGAACTAAAATTTTCATAAGTTTTGTTATCATTTATCAGTCGCTAAATTACTCGTATTAGTTCCGCTAACACATAAATGTATTTAAATATAAATTTATCTATTATTATATATTAACTTAATATAAAAAACAATAAATTTCATCTTTATATTTGTTACAATATTTTTTAGGTGATGTTGTTAATTGCTCTAGCTAGTACAAAATTAGTTCACCGACATATAAGTGTATGGTTTAAAAACAATTGGCTATATATAATTTATGTGGACATTTGTAGTTTTGCACAAAGTCATATCATATCATATTAATTCATTTAGCAACTTTTTTTTAATTATTATTTATTTATATCTCTTCTTCTTCTTTACTTCACCAAAAATTCTTCAATTATAATTATCTTTTTATTAAAAAAAATGGTACATTCAAAGAAGTTTAGAGGTGTGAGGCAACGCCATTGGGGTTCTTGGGTTTCTGAAATTAGACACCCTTTGTTGTAAGTTATTTCTTTCGCAAATAATTTTTTTTTTAATTAACGAATCAGAATGATAAAAGAATCGTATCTAAATATATCGTGATAGAATAAAGATTGCTTTGCCACTTATATGAATATACATTTTTCATATAAATATATAACATTTCTCTTTCTCAATTTCATTGCTTTTATCTTAACTTTAACTTATCAATGTTACATTGTTGCTATCAGAAATCAATCAATTTTCGTTAGAAATAACTTCGTTGATTGCTTTATTTTTTCGATAGATGATTGATCATTTCTATAATATATTCACTCATAACAGTTACTTGAATATACAAAAGTCATTTTCTGACGTAAAAGTTTAGTTTTGTAGAATCGTAATAACTTTGTCAGAAATTTGACCTTTCAATCATTTGTGTTTTTTTTTATCTAGTTACTTTAACATTATAAAAAATAAATTTCCTTACTTTATTGTTATTATAGTGAATAAATATCAATTTTTATTTTATTTTTTTCCTTTTCTAATTATAATATAAATATATATGTGTTATAGGAAAAGAAGGGTATGGTTAGGGACATTTGATACAGCAGAAGAAGCAGCAAGAGCATATGATGAAGCAGCAATATTAATGAGTGGAAGAAATGCAAAAACTAATTTTCCAATAACACAAGATTTGGATAATAATAATAATAATAATAATAATAATAATAATAATAATAATAATAATAAAAATGTAAAGGGTAAAGATCAAGAATCATCATCATCATCATCATTTTCATCACCAAAAGCTTTATCTGAAATACTTCATGCCAAGTTGAGGAAATGTAGCAAGGTGAGCACCCTTACACCTCCATCTCCGCGTCCTCATTTTGTATTTCCTTTTTTTCATGTTTTAAAAATACGCTTTTCTGATAGGTTTTCATTAAAAATAGACTTGTCAGATTTGAAAATATACTTTAGTTACGTTGGAAATCTTAGCTTTTGAGAGGGATTCTAATAAAAAAGTATATCTTCGAAATGTGCTTGTCGAAAGTTATTCCAACGTCCATTTTCTATCTGAAATTTCAAATTTTAGAGGTATTTTCGTAGAAATCACGTCTATCGAAAAAAACATGAGTTACTAATAGTAATTAGTCTATTTTCTATTATGCTATTTTTCTTTTGGATAATGCACAAGTATCCCCTCAACCTATGTTTAAAATCTCAGAAACACACTTATACTATTTTTCTTTCGGATAATGACATTACCCAACGCTGATTGACTTTTTTTTTCAAATTAGTATCACGTAGGTCGAAAAGGAGTAGAAAATTACTTATAAAATAAGTTCAGGAGGGTAATAAGACCTTAACATAGTATAACTGTGTCTCTAAGATTTCAAGCATAGGTTGAGGAGATATTTGTGCATTTTTTCTTTTTTTTTAGCATATTCTAAAAAATAATAACCTTTCTATTTTTGGAAATAATTTAATTTTTTTTATTCTAGCTTTAATAACATGACTTTGTAATTAACATAACAAGTTAAAAAATCTTTACTAAATATCATATATTATCCCTTTATTTTAAATGATGTGTCACTTTATGTACTTAATATTGTCACTATTAAAAAATCACTAAACGAATTTAACTTGTCGATAACATTTTCAATAAAATTTTATATGGAAAATCACTGACTAATCCATATACTTCAAACATATTATATATTATTTTTCATATAAAATATATTTCTAGTGCAATTAATTTATTTATTTTTTATATATGTAGGTACCATCACCATCTCTCACTTGTTTAAGATTGGATATTGAAAATTCACACATAGGAGTTTGGCAAAAACGTGCTGGCCCTTCTTCTGATTCAAAATGGGTAATGACAGTTGAACTTCAAAAGAAAAATAATCCCAAAAATATTAATGTTCATGAAGGAGAATTAAATAATAATAATAATAATAATAATAATGATAATAATAATAATTCCAAGAATAGTTGTGGTGAAATAACTATTAGAAGTGAAATGGATGAAGAAGAAAGAATTGCATTGCAAATGATTGAAGAATTGCTTCAAAGATGAGATAAAAATAACAAAATTTGTGATGGTAATTTCTATTGCTAAATAACAAAAATCTGTCGATGCTGATCCAATTTAACGATGACTTATCTAACGGTGGATTAATTTCGCAGCTCATTTCGATTTTTATAATAGATAATTTACATTGTATAATGTTTGCTTAATTTATCATGTAATGTGTGATTAATTTTATGTTATTAGTTTGATTTCTAATAATAATTTGGGCTAGAAAAGTGCCTATGTAAGTAGTATTTTTATTTATAGAAAAAAAAAGTTACTAAAGACAAAGTAAATTAACAATATTGTCATCTTTTTTTCTTTTCTTTTTTTTTTTAAAAAAAGAAGTTTGATAAATAAAAATATATTGATTGTATATGATTTACCTTGTATTATTTTTTGTATTTTATATGATATACAAATATATTGATTGTATATGATTTACCTTGTATTGTTTTTTGTATTTTATATGATTGTATTGCTCTTCATTTCAATCAAATATTTTCCCTCTTGATTTTAAAAAAATAATTCAACATAAAAAATACTACATGTTAATTTTTGTTATAAAAAGTTATTTACAATTTGTAAAGGTTACTATATTAGAATTAATATATATTTACGTATCATTAATTGGGAATGCAAAAAATTCTATTGAAAAATAAAGAATTTTTAATAATGTGCCTGTCAGAATGACAAAATGAACCTCTAGGAACAAAATGAAACAGAATAGAACATAGATTTTTTTTTCAATCTTTTTATTTAATACTTTTTCCGTCCATAATTATTTAACAAATATACTAAAAATAGATATTCGAGATTAATTATCAATTTAAACAATTAAGAAATAATTACTCATGTTTTTTCAATTCTGCCCTTAATAATTACTCTGTTTTGTTCAATTGAAAAGTTATGTAGACTTTCGATATTTTTGCTATAATAGAGTTATGTTAGTCAACTTATATTTCGAATTAAATTTTCCTTGCAGAGTGCATGACCTTACCTGATAAATAATTGTGGACGGAGGGAGTATTTGATGGATAAAGATCCGGTCAAATATAATTAGATCAAGCAATGTGATTCATGTCATGTGTACTATATAGTAATTTATGGTTGAAATCTATTTAAAATATATACTCATCTTAATAATAAAAATAACAAAGTCGTCAATTATTTTTTCCCTCCGGTGCCTTTCACTATTGCTACGGTATTTTTAATTTAAAATTATCAAATAAAACAATTATGTGTATCCTACCTAATATTTTCAAGAAAAAAATAAGACTGACGGGAATATGCAAACTTTTCGACTTTTTTACCTGCCAAGCCTCGTACTTGTATTGGATTTATTAAATTACACTAATTTTAACGAGCCCGACATTTTTAAAGAATCTTATTTAATATATTTTTATAGTTATTTGAAAACCTTCAAATAAGTTTTTTTTTTAAAAAAAATGTATTATTATGTTTTTAGTTGAATTTTTATTTAGAACTCAATAGTGTTTTTAAGTTTGATCTATTTTTGGAGAATGCTTCATTGTTTGGAGAAAACATGTGTAAAATTACTCTCGAAGAAGTTTGGCGAATAACAAGTCAGGAAGTTCGCTTATTTTCGTTAATCTTAAATTTTTTTCTTGAAAAAATATTAGCTTGGGTAATTGCTTTATTTGATAGTTTAAAAAAATAAAAATGTTGATAACTTTGTTGTTTTTATTATTATAATGAGTATATAATTTAAATGAATCTCAGTCATCAATTATTTTATACTACACGTGATATGAACCTATAAGACTATTGAATATTACTTGACTTAATTATATTTGATCGAATCTTTACGGATAGTTATAATAATGTTTCAACAAATTTGAATTTATTTAATTACTTAAGGTTTATTTAAAAGGAAAGATTGGTAGGCTAATCTCATTAATGTATATGTGACATTTATATAATTACTATTAAATCAATAATTAAATATTGATGGTACCTTCATGGGTTGTCAAAATCTGTCAAAACAATTTGTGTAATTAATTATCAATTAATTTGTATTTAGGTATGTCATCCTATCTTTCCCCCCACGATTTTATTTAAGAATTATAAAATTCGATCATGCCCTAAATTTTAAATAAATTTACATCAGAAAGTCGATCCTATGTATAGATTAAATCATTTTCTAATCAATGTAACCCCGTACTCGTAAAGCTCAAACTCGATCCTGTTGATTAGATGTTAATAAGTACTTCTCATTGCTCGACTATCATTATTAGTGAAGTGACTTAGGGTTGCTAGCTAGAACAAGAAATTTTGAAAAATTAAAAAGATGAACTAACGCGCTAGGTATGTTTATCTAATTATATTTTTTCAGGTAACTAACTTGTTTTTATTAATCACCTATTACTATTTATTTAATTCAATCTACAATAAAACAAAAGTCTAAATCAATTCTATAAACATAATTAATATAATTGTCTATGTTTATGTGCAATATAATTACTAAATTCTAACTACTATAGTTGAAAATGAACTAGGTAGGTCTAATATTTTATTTTTATGTTTTGCATTTGCTCTTAATTATCAAAGACCAAATGATGCATTAATTTTTATCTTTTTAACAAAAAGAAAAAGACCTTAGTTTATGTTGTGAAATATCACCTATCATTATTCATTACTAATTCATGCATGAGCATTTATATATGTAGCATATGCTAGGAATTGTGAAAAGGGTCTGATATATTCTTAATTTTGTCATTTAGAGTTAATATATTCTTTGTTATGAAAGTGAGTTATATATACCCTTACTTATAAACAAATGGCTCACATATAACCCTTTTCCTCTAACGGAAATGGAAAAAAAATTAACTTTAATCTAATTTTTTTTCTCTAAAAGATATAATCTCATATGAGTAAATTTAATCCTCGTCAAAATTTTTATTTTTATTTCAATGACTAATTTAGAATTATTATTTTGATTATCAAATTTATTTATGTTTCACTAATATTCTTGTAAAACTTATTGTAGATGACAAAACTTTTTCCTTCGAATACCAAAATCAAATTACAATATAGACAAAAAAATATTTTAATTTTTTTTTAAACTAAGGAATGAAAGGAAAAAAATAAGAAAAAGAAACTCAAATATAACAAAAGAAGTCAAAAAAATAATTTATGTATGAAAAATATTTAAATATACCTTGAACTTTGATAGAATAATCATATATACCCCTATATAATTTTTTAAAAAAAATTAAAAGTAAAAAAATATAAATTTAAAAGTAATTCTTTAACTTTCGTTAAACGAATGATATATGTGAGCTCATTTTGTAACGGCAGAGGCATATGTGAGCCGTTTGTATAACGGTAAGGGCATATATTGACCACTTTCATAACGAGGAATATATCAGCTCGAAATGATAAATTTGAGGGGTATATCAGACATTTTTCCCTTTTTTGTTTGAGTTAAGATTCTGTCTGAGATAATTCTATATCTTCATATGATAAAGGTAAAGTTGCGTACATTTCATCATCTTCAAATGAAATTACACGGGATATATAATATTGTTATTTTTGTTAAAAATAATATGCACATATACATACAACAAATAGAAAGACAAATATGAAAAGTGTGTATCCATTTGGACCACGAATTAAATAAAGCTTCACTAAAGTCGCTATAATAATTTTAGATTAAATCTACGACTTACGAAAACGAATTGTGACAATAGATCGATACTATTTAAATTTTAATAAAGTCATGAATCTGACATGTATGGTACATAACATTATATTTTGGTTTAAATATTCAGGACCATTTACAGGGAGAATAGGACCAATTTATTTTATGAGTAATTAAGATATAATTAAAGAATTAATTTTGTGGACACCAATATTAGTTTTTCCATTTACAATATGGTTCCTCTATTTATTTCTGCACTAATTAGGTAAACCTAGCTAGCTCCTTTCAATGTAATAACAACAAAAGTAATGCGGAAGACTTAAACTCATTAATAAAAATCAATAATCAACTTCTATAACTCAAAAACTTATCATTATCCCCAGAATCTGGAAGTCATCACCACAAGAACATCTAAAATCAAATGACTAAACTAAGAGTATTCTAAAAGCTAAGAATACATAAGAAGCTAGTCCGTGCCGGAGGTTCAAGGCATCAAGACGTGACGGAGGAGATCCAGTCCAAGCTAGAAGTGTTAGCTCACCCTGAAGATCCGGTGTGACGAAGACTGGCTTGAATTACTCTTGAGTCGAAGATGACGGCACATTTGCTGCATTCCACAATTAAACAAGAAGAAAACAATAAAAGTAGGGGTCAGTACAAACACGGGTACTGAGTAGATATCATCGGCCAACTCAAAATAGGGAACAATATATATCAAGTATTATCATAAATCAACTATAAAACTCAACATGTAACAACAACAAGTACTATAATCATCAATAAGTACCATCAAATCCACACATGAGGACTCAGG